AATAGAATAGAATAGAATAGAATAGAATAGAATAGAATAGAATAGAAAATATTGAATGGAATGGAATAGAATAGAATGGAAGATATGGAATGGAATGGAATGGAATAGAACAGAGAATAGAATAGAATAGGTTGGAATAGAATAGAATAGAATAGAATAGAATAGAATAGAATAGAATAGAATAGAATAGAATAGAAGGCTAAGCACGGTCGGCGAGTCTCTTCCCTCGAAGCCTTGAGGGTCAAACGTGAATCGGCCCCCGGTTCGCCTTCCGCGAGGCTGCCGTTCCCCCGACTTGCGGTGCTGGAACTCCGCTGGCTCCCAGAGATGCGCCCCGGCCCTGCCCAGCCTCGGAGGCGGAGCGCGGCGGAGGCGGAGGCTGGCTGGCTGGAGGCACCGCCCGCTCGCGCGACGGGAGAACCGCAGCGCCAAGGATGGCGGCGGCGGCGGCGGCGGCGGCCCCGGTGCAGATCCTGGTGGCCGAAGCGGAGGACGACGAGCCGCGGTGGCCGAGCCCGCCGGGATGCGGCAGCTGCAGCGAAGACGATTCCGGGCGGGGCGGCGGCAGCGGCAGCGGCGGCGGCTTTGGAGGGGGCGATAAGTCCAGGTAAGGGGGCTGTGGCCCGGAGGGCGGCCAACCCAGGGACTAGCGCCTTGCTCTCGGTTTGCTTTTGCCCCGGGGATCCTCGGCGGAGGAGGGGAAGGAGTCCCGGGAAGCGGGAAGCCCCCTCTTGCTTCGCCCAGCCAGGGCAGCCTTGGAATAAGAGGAGACACCCCCCCACACACACTGCAAACAAGGAGGTGGGCGATGCTGAAAAGGGGCGGGAGATGCAGCCCCGAAAACCGGCTGCGGGACTGCCAGGAGGAAACCGGGGGGTGAGGGGTGCATGATGCCTCCGTGGGGAGGGCTCTGCTTTGATGTCCGAGGGCTGCGGGAAGAGGCTGGGCACGACCCGAAGCTTTGGAGCCTCTCCTGGGAGCGCCTTTCCCGATGGGGAAGAGGGAGAAGAAGAAGCTCCCCCAGAGGGGCCGCCTTGGCCGGGGGTCCCTAGCAAGAGACCCAACGAAGTTGGATTAACCCACTTTGTTGTCCAATCACCCCCCCCCCCCCCCCCCAAACAAAAGAAAATACTGTGAAGGAAGCTTGCCGAAGGCTTCCCCGCTTCATCCTGGCTGGTTTTGAAAAGCTTGGTTGGGTCAGACTGGATGAGTGCTTGGAAGAGAGACCCCCAAGGAATGAGCGGGCCCTTGGGAAAGAATGGCTTAGGATGGATCCTGGCATCATCTATGTCTGTCTGTCTATGCCTCTATCTATCTATCTATCTATCTATCTATCTATCTATCTATCTATCTGTCTGTCTGTCTGTCTGTCTGTCTGTCTGTCTGTCTGTCTGTCTGTCTGTCTATCTATCTATCTATCTATCTATCTATCTATCTATCTACCTATCCATCCATCCATCCCTATGTCTCTCAGTCTCTCATCTATATCTCTCTCTGTCTGTCTCTGTCATCTATCTGTTTATATCTCTCTCTCTATCATCTATCTCTGTCTGTCTCTGTCAATCATCTCTCTATCATCTATCTCTAGCATATCTCTCTCTGTGTGTATGTGTGTGTGTGTGTCATCTATCTTTCTTTCTTTCTATCTATCTATCTATCTATCTATCTATCTATCTACCTATCCATCCATCCATCCATCCATCCCTATGTCTCTCAGTCTCTCATCTATGTCTATATCTCTCTGTCTCTATCATCTATCTGTTTATATCTATCATCTCTCTCTCTATCATCTGTCTCTGTCTGTCTCTGTCAATCATCTCTCTCTCTCTCTCTATCATCTATCTCTAGCATATCTCTGTGTGTGTGTGTGTGTGTGTGTGTCATCGATCTATCTCTCTATGATCTATCAATCTATCAGAATAGTCCAAGCTTCTACTGGAAGTGGGCATCACCAGGCACCAAAATGGCACTTGCCATGGGAAGCACCGGCCGGACCAGCTGGGATGGGGAGGTGGGGAAGGTATTTGCTCCAGGGGAGGGGTGGTCCAGGAAGATGAGGGCGCTGAGCATCTCCGTGTCCTTGACAGAAGAAAAACAAACAAGGAAGTGCTGGCTGATTCTTTGCAAGGAGGAGAAAAGATTGGCCTGCAACCCTGCTGGGAAACACCCGCAAACGCACACACACATTTCCCCCATTTTAATATCTTTTTTTGTTGTTGTTTAAAAGCTGGGAAGGGAGGGCATCCTTTCTGCCTGAGCGCAGGGAGGGAGGGAGGGAGAAGGAGCTGGGGGTGGGCCGCCTTTCCTCCTCTCCCCCCCCTCCAGGCTCCCCCCCCCCCCATATCCCCAAGCAAAGCCCACGTGGGCACCCTGTGCCAAGGTCGGGCCAGAGAGGAGAGACAGCCGGATGTTGCAACAACCATTGCTGGCCCCCTCCTCTCCCTCCTGGGCCAGATGCTGGGCAGGCAGCCCGGAAGGAGGTCCCTGTTTCCCACCCACGCACCCCCTACTCCTAGGCAGTGAGGGGGGAGAGCCATGCCGGGAAGGGGCTCCCTCCTGCTGACCTGGCACTGGGGTGGGCGGGCGGGCGGGAGGCCCTTCAGCTGCCAGGGAACATCTGTCATTGGATGCTGGGGAGGAGCCCAGGAGCCCTGCCCCACATCTGGTTCAAGCAAAGCTTCCCAATCTGAGTCAGCGGCTGCTCTGTAATTGCATTCTGGGGAGGGGGAGATCATGGGCCTTGTTTTGGACTGAATTTTCTACCGTTAAAGGCTGTTCCTGGGAGAGTTTTTTTTTCCTCAAAGCCGAAAGTAATCTGTAATTGGAGGCAAAGTTGGAGATAATAAAAGGGCTCTTCTTGCTTATTTGAGACTGTGTTGCTTTTGTGCCACGCCCCTTTGGGTCATCGCAGCGCTGTTGAAAAGTTTCGCGAAAGGAATGGTTGTAAATTGAGGAGGACCCGTTATCCTCCCGATGGGGAGGCCCCCTTTAGTTCAGGGGTCGGCAACCCACTGCTCTAGAGCCGCATGTGGCTCTTTCATCCCTCGGCTGTGGCTCCCAGTTGCCTCCCAGTTGCCGGTCAGCGCCACAGTTTTGAGAGTAGCTTCCGGTTAAAAGGCCGGGGTAGGGGGAGAAGCACAGCACGCCAGGAGGCTGTATAGCCAGGGGCAGGTTTCCCGGTTCGCTCCACAATTGATAGGATAGGTAGAGGAGAGAGAAAAAAGGCTCCGTGCTAGGAGGTGACTCTATGGTGGGGGACTTCCGGTCAGCTCCAGAATTGAATGAGGGGCTTCTGCTTAGAAACTTTCTGACAGTAAGAACAATCAACCAATGGAACAGAAGTTGCCCTCGGAAGTTGTGGCAGCGTCATCACTTTTCAAGGAGATATTGGACTGCCGTTTGTTAGAAATGCTGTAGGGTCTCCTGCTTGGGCAGGGGGTGGGTGGGTTGCATTAGATGACCTACAAAGTCCCTTCCAACTCTGATTATCTGTTATCTGTTACCTTTGTGGCTCTTCGAATGTTGTTGATGTCTTTAATTCCCTTTCCTTTCCCGGGTCAAGGTGTCCTTTTGCAAACTTCCCACACGTCGGGGCACACTGTTCGTTGCAAAATACAGCGATTGTTCCAAAATATTTGGGAGCTCGGGATGCCCAGAGACTAGAGTGAAGGTTATTTGGATTAAAAATACGCACATATTTGTTTTCCTGCTCACTTCTTGGAAGCCCAACCGAATTGTGCAGACTGTTTTCAAGCCTGAAAACTCCCCCGAGCACGTTGAACAACATTCGAAGAATGTGCAAAGGAACAGATTCTTGGAAAGGAAAGTCACACATGCGTTTTTATTTTATTTTACCAGGCAATTTTATGTAATCTTTTCAGTTGTTACAGAGAACGTGTCCACATGGCCCTGTTTATCTGGTTTTTTTAACTCGTTCTTTTCCTGGGCAATTCTTATCCTCTCTCTCTCTCTCTCCCTCCCTCCCTCCCTTTCCGTCCCTCTCTCTCTCCTTCTTCCTCCCTCTCTCCCTCTCCCTCCCACTCTCTCTCTCTCCCTCTCCCGTTCTCTCTCTCTCCCTCTTTCTCCCCTTTTGCAGCGAGAATGACGGGGATGATTCGTCTCCTGCTTGGAAGCCCCCCGAGCACGACCTGATCCTGAAGCTGGTGGCTCAGGTAGAATATTATTTCTCCGATGACAACCTTGAAAAAGATGCTTTTCTCCTGAAGCACATCCGCCGGAACAAGATGGGGTACATCAGTGTGAAGCTGCTGACCTCGTTCAAAAAGGCAAGCCC